ATGTATGAGGAAATAATATTTTTTCTTAAAAATTTGTTACTCGATTTCAGATGTTGAGATAGTTGTTTAAATCAAAATTTATTTTTCGGCGCTCGTTTCAAATACACCGCTACTTATACTCACTCTTCGTCCGTCCGAATGTTTCGGGCTCGGGCTGAGGCTGGGGCTGGGGCTCGGTGCCGGGCTCGGACCCTGATGCACGGCCTGCTGATGCTGGTGGTGCTGTCTGTGGCTGCTGCCGGCTGATTTCTTCTCCTGGTGCCTCAGCGAGTGTAGACGCGCGGTCATCCTTAGCAGGCCGCGACGGCCCTCGGCACAGATCGCAGCACCCTACGTGATTGGCTGGACTGGACGGCCGAGGCTCTCAGCATCTCGCGGCGGCCTGCGACGGCGAGACCAGACTACCACCACCGGACCCCCCGCGCTACCCTTGCGACTCTGCTGTTGGCACCGGCGATGATATACGGCGGGACTAATCACTGTTGCACCATGCCCTCGCGAATGCCTCGAGAGAGACCGACAGGCGCGAGGATCGATCGTTAACGTTAGGATCGTTTGACGAAGCCGCGAAACGTCCGCTCGCTCGTGAGATCAATCACCAACGACTACTGTCACCTCGTGTCCGTCGTGTGCACGCGCGATTCTCCGGCACACGCGCGCCCGGAAGAGAGAAAGAGAGTCCCGCGAAAGTCCTCACGCCACCCAGACGGCCGTACACCGGCGCAACACACCGCGCCACGTGGTTAACCACGCGTCGCCGACCACTTGTCACTCGCGGAGCGAAACGGCCGTCGTGGCTCGTCCGTTTCCCGCTGGATTCTCGTCGAACTCCTCAGGGTCTGTCTCACGAGGTGCAGCAAGTGGTCGATAAACAATCGAAGCGCACACGTTCACAAGTTCTCGCGCGACTGACGAATAACGTTCAGCGTCCCGCTTTCACTGAAAGCTTTGACAACGCGCACTAAAGGGCGCCTTTGTCAAGTTGAGATCGCGATCGAGTTGGGACCACTCGATCTTCCTCAGGAAAAAAAGTCCTTTCCGCAATATACGGGATATATCGAATGTTTTGTGTTAATTTCCTGAATCGCGGATTTACGAGCGTCGAATTCGAGCGCAACGTGAGAATCCACCCTCGTGCATGCTATCGCAACACGGGGGTCAAACTCGATCCGTCACTGTGTCAACGGTACGACGACAAAAACACACGCAGTGCGTGCAGCCTGACTCCGGAGACGTCCGCGTGTTGCTCGCACAACGAGCGACGGTGACGGACTGTGAGGCGGCGAGCGCCGAGCGCTGAGCGGTAGCTGGCGGCTGTACGCGGCGAACTTGGCGCGCCGAGGCCGCGCGTCGGCTGCGGGGGGTGACGGCGGGGTGACGAGGGGCCCGCGTCGTGGTTGGTCGTGCGTGGGGCGGGGGGATACTGGAGCACGGATGGCTCGCCGCTCCGGCGTGGCGCGGCACGGCACGGCGTGGCGCGGCGCGGCGCGGCACGGCGCAGAGCGGCGCGACACGGCAAGGCGAAGCGAGGCGAGGCGAGACGGGGCGAGGCGAAGCGAGGCGAAGCGAAGCGAGGGCGAGGTTTGGCTCGGCACAGCGTGGCGCGGCGCGGCGTAGCGGCGGAGGATCGGTCGGAAGGCTCGCTTGCCTGCTCACGCGCGCCCTTGCCTGCGGCTACGTGCGGTCGTCTCCTATTCCTGTCTTCCTCCTCTCTCGTTCTCTCTCTCTCTCTCACTCGCACGCTCGTTCGTTCGCTCGCGGCCGCGTCCTCGTCGCGCGCCACGTCGTGCCTCCGTCTCTCTCAGGGCCGTTTT